CATATTGCATGGCCTAATTCGGGCACTAGTATACGTCTATAGCAGGTATTGTTGGTACCGAACAACTCCTCGGAGAAATAGACGCATAGTAGTGCCCTCATGGCCATGCAATATGTTCTTAATAGTTTATCAATGTGAAAACTTCTTTTCAACGAGATTCAAATTTAAAGCTATATTTCCGGAAACTAATTTAATAATGAACCATAATATTACGGTTATACTGTAATGTATATCCAAACTATTTATACAATTGTGTACGTTGATAACTATGTAATATAAAACTACCAACATTGTACAACAACGTCACCGTATAGTGAAATAGTGAGACAATAACAACATCCTGTAGAACGATATTTCAATCAACTCCATGCCGCCAAGTAAGAAATATAGTATATGTGTTGTCACAAGTTATAGCCTGTGTCTGAGATATTAACGTTTTACTTTCATTTGTGTATTGAAACTTCATATGTGATCTGTTTAGAACTCGGACATCAATATTATACTTACCATGCTCTTCTCTGGCCTTGGCACATACACCATAGTATTTGCCATTTTCTTTCATTTCCTTTAATGTTTCACTAAACCATGATAGTCGATTATCCTTTCTCGTAATAACATGCGTTTCACCTGGTTCAGCACAGCTAATACTGTCGCCAACTCGTTCAAATCCCTTTGCAACTGCAGCGCTTGCGTATTCATCTTGCATGAAGATAGCATCACACTGATACAAAGATAGTACAATAAAAAATTAGTCAGTTGAATGGAATATCCACTAAATTTGTTTTTGGTCCCAGTACAAAGCAATTTTCGTTGTGACATGTCTGTGTTTGCTTAACAGCTTCTTCCTATAACAAAGGAGCCGTGGAAATGTTTGATGCAGTGATACTATATTGCTGTAGATGTTGTTCACTCAGATCACTTATATCATTTTTTTGTGTGTGTGTAATCTCAGTATATGAATTATATGATTTTTTTACCGCTCCAGTTTCTAAACTTTTGATAAGTGCTCTTCTGTCTTCGAAATACATATAATCCATAGAATCTGCTCCTTCAACGTCAGCCAAACATGCGTGACCTCCAGTCCAACCATTTACAAAACCTACATATTTTAGTAGAAAATGATATTTGTAACAATATATTACTATAACGACATTTAGCTAGCTCCGTTTCGCATGGGACACGTCAGTGCCACTTTCACGTTCCTTGTACAAACGATGAAGTATATTGATATGTTTGTTTGTTTGAGTGTTATTCACTTGTAAACATGGACTATCAACATTTATATTCCTGTTGATCATTGACTTATTATCATATTAACTAATTTACGTCATATATTTATCCTTACATGTCGGCGCATAATTATCATATAATATTAGCAACATGGTGCCATTCTACCAGAATAAGTCACATTCGAAAAAAAAAGATTCTTGCCAATTTTCTTTCCAGCAATATTATTTGCATCGAAATCGCTGGGGTTGCCAGCAAGAACGTAGAAGTGATTGCTGTTTTCAATAACCCAATATGGCTCGCTGAAGGCGACAATGTTGTCACGCTGCCTAGCTTTAAACCATCCAAGACAGCCATCGTATTGCTTTCCACCAAGACCTACAAATGAAAATAGAAACACATTTGGCGATTTGATTCTACTGGATAAATACAAATCGCAAGGGCAGTACACGGCCACAGTTTAGTTAAATGAATACACACAAACCGATCATACTGTACTCGTATATTGTGAGGTCATCACGAGAATACTACAAAATATGCACGAGGATAGTACGGCGATCGACGCGTAGCTAAATTCATGCGAACCCGTATTGCTTAAATGCTTGTTATAACAAATTAATGACAGAATATATTCGGAATTGAAAACGTAAACGTTTTGCGCTCTGCAAGTTTTGCGTTTGCGTAGAGCGTTCTTGCTCATTTGCATAACAGATCGCGGTGCATAAACGCCAAGTACCGAAAGTTTATCCCATTGCGATTAAGAAATATAGTTATTTTTAGAGTCATCACCATATTTACTGTCTGAGGAGTGCACTGGTTACATAATTAATAATTCAAAACGTGGTTGTTTTACAATCTGTGACTAAGGGCTCCCCACTAGACATGAATGGGTGAAAAAAATGTATATGGTAGGTATCATAAATACGCGGCTTTTTACGATTGTTGTAATTATAACTCAATTAATAACTCAATACATATTGTGTACAAAAAATCGAAATATTAGCTTATTTTGCAAAAGTCTGCCACGATGTCAAAAGGTCAATCCGCTTACATATACCAAATAGAAATGTCGAGATTGTTAATACATAGGTTGGAGATACTACACTAAATCTTACACC